ATATACATATACATATACATATACGTACACGTACACGTACACGTACACGTACACGTACACGTACACGTACACGTACACATACACATACACATACATATACATATACATATATATATATATACACACCATAAGAAACAGCAAGGCCATGGAAGAAATTGTTGCCGCCGCGCAGAGTACGGCCATCATGCAGTGCCTTGCAGGTTACATCACCCCAGAAGTCACTGGCAAGTTGCCCGGATCTAAGGGGTACTGGTAGGGCTTAGCTGCGGCGGAGTTGAGTCAGATGGTTTAGAATGGATGATTTTGCTCTGGGAGCTTCGAGATTCTTTCGAGGCTATAGCACACTTGAAGCCACACCTGCAACTGGAGCCCGTAGAAAGTTGGACTCCAGAGGCTGATAGGCAGGTGAGCTGTGCTGTACCTGTCACCGTTGTAGTCAATGCAAAGAACAGCTCGACTGTTGAGAGTGCACAGCTGGCCCTGCCAACGCCCATACAAGCAGTCACTTGGACAACGCTTCAAGATCAGCTTCGGGGGCTGAAATGACTAAGCGGCAAGTTCCGTAAGCCCTTGCACATAAGATAGAAGGTTCAACATCCGACGGACGTGGCATGCATCCGAAAAAAGCCCTCAATATACTGATTCCGGCACCTGGAGTGCTGACAGGCCTGGCTTCCTGTCGCCGTCCGCCGGCTTGAAGTCGCTGGGTCGCTGTTAAGGAACTTAAAGCAAGTTACCAAGGTTAATGTGGTATCCATGTATACATCTATGCATTACATAAACTACACACACACATATATATATGTATACATATAGATACATACAGACATACGCACGCACACATGCAGAAAGCTGAGTTCAAGCAACCATAGTCCACGTGCATCAGGAGTGGGTTTTCGAGGGCGGCGATGGGGGGTTGACAGAGTCAAAGCTGCGTCACGATAGTTGCTTTCCCCAGGTATTTATGGTGCGTTGTCAGTGTATTGCTGGGTATCAGCGAACAAAAGTTCAAGCTATGTTAAGTTCAAGCTATTACTCAATCGAGTGTAATTGTCGTGAACCTTTCCGTACCATGATCGCAACTTACTCAAAGTCCAAGTTCCTTTGAAAAGAGCTCAGGTTCGCCGACATCCCGAACGGCCTTGCGGCTGTCTCCAAGGTGCCAGTGGCCGGCTGGGCGCAGATTGCCGCGTACTTTGGCTTCGTAGAGTTCAGCGGTGGATTCGATGACTACAAGAGCGGAACTCCCGGTGACTATGGCTTCAAGGTGCTGACCTCCTCGGATCCTGCTGAGAAGACCAAAAAGCTCTCTGCCGAGCTGGCAAATGGCCGCCTCGCGATGATGGCGATCATCGGTATGTTCTTCCAGGCACAAAGCACATGATAGGTTCGTAATTCATAATGTTTCTGCATCAGTCTTGGTACTGGTAGTTTGCAATCTGATGTTTGTTGTATTTTGTTGTTGAGATGTAGCATGTCGTAGCATCGTCTTGTGCAGAGGATGGCCTCACTGGCAGCGCCTGGGGAGACTGGGCTAACTACACCGCCTCGCCTCTGCGAGCGTTCGAGAACGAGCTTGGAGTGCAGGCCCCCGTGGGATTCTGGGATCCAGCAGGATTGTCGGCAGATGGCAGTGTGGAGAACTTCAAGCGCCGTCGTGCTACCGAACTTAAGCACGGCAGAATTGCCATGCTTGCAACCATGGGATACATCACGCCAGAAATCACTGGAAAGTTCCCTGGTTACTTGAGCCCATCTGCTGGCTTGAAGTTCGCCGACATCCCGAATGGCTTGGCGGCTAT